GGGATTAACGCCCCAGGTCATCCTGTCCTCGCCACAAGAAGGGTTTTGAGCTGAACAAACCTGGGGGTAGGACCCTGGCTGGTGACCACAATACAGCGTTTTACTTGTAGAAATGATTGAAATATTTCTGGAAATTGCAGTATTCACATCTGAACATGAGTTTGCAGCCATAACAAATTTAAATTTAGTGTTAAGTCCACAGTTTAAATATCTGAAGTAGAATTGTGAGGCCCATTCATACATGTAATTCAGTAATAACTTGAAGAACAATGTTTTAGAAGACCAGAATGAGAAATCTGATCTTACATACCCCCAAACCATTTTTTTGATGAGAAATGTATAATTGATAAGTTATCTGTGTCATAGAAAACTGCTCCTTCTTAAAATATGTGGTCAGAAGATAATGTGGAGATAGCTATGTCCTATTATTGATATAATGATGCTGCTACCAAGATGTGAACATAAATTAAATGTCATAACATAGTTTGAGATTAAATGAGAAAATGCAGAATAGTATTTTATGAAAGCTTTTATCTGATATGTTTGTGAAAAGAAAAGCAGGATTGAATTGGAAAATAATTTATTGAACAATTACCTTAGATTTCAACCTCAGTTCTGTAGAGGTTTTATGATACATTTGATTCTATTCAGAATTTGTTCCTTTGGTGAGTCCCTGCAGTCCCTGAATATAGGAAGCGAGGAGGCCGTGATTATGGGCGAATGCATGGAATAGGGGAGTCAGGCCATAAATTAGATTTATAATGAGCCTTGGGGCAGCTTACGATCCATACCTGCTTGTGGGTCCTTGACTTTAAGGGGTATGTATTAGGAGAGGAATGAAACAGCGGACTGTTTTGGTTGCATTAGAAATGCTTTTTGATGGCATTAGTTTGTCTAGATATCAGTTAACAGAGCACTATGAAAATGCTACCCAGAACCTTAAATTAAAGTGATCAGCTCTGGATTGACTCTGGGGTCATAAAATAATTAGGACGCAGGAGGCAGAATAAGTTCAGCCAGGCTGCTGTGTGAAAAGTTCCATTAGAAGCTGCAGAAGTTTTCCCATTTACTTTTTATCATCCAGTAAGTTTTATAAATCTTGGTTTGAAAATTAAAGTTCCTATATATGCTAATGTTAAGATGTTAGGGGCTTCATAATTATATAATGGTCATTTATAAATGTGTGGAAGCACAAATTGGCTGAGCCTTTTCTCTCAACTTTAGCACACTGAAGTCCTTGGTGTTTGAATGAGGTGTTTTTTTTGTTTTGTTTTGTTTTGTTTTGTTTTTGAGACGGAGTCTCGCTCTGTCACCCAGGCTGGAGTGCAGTGGCCAGATCTCAGCTCACTGCAAGCTCCACCTCCTGGGTTCACGCCATTCTCCTGCCTCAGCCTCCTGAATAGCTAGGACTACAGGCACCCGCCACCTCGCCTGGCTAGTTTTTTTGTATTTTTTAGTAGAGACGGGGTTTCACCATGTTAGCGCATGTTGGGATGGTCTCGATCTCCTGACCTCGTGATCCGCCCGTCTCGGCCTCCCAAAGTGCTGGGATTACAGGCTTGAGCCAGCGCGCCCGGCCATGAGGTGGTTTTAAAACAAGAATTTTTCAAAACTAACCACCGTGGTAGTTTTGTTAAATGTCCTTGACTCCTGTCGAGGCAGCTTGGACTCCACGGTAACAAGGAACCACAGGTGGGCTGACTTGGGCAGCAGGGACTCCCTTCTCACCGTTCTGGGAGGTGGAAGTCCAACACCAAGGTGCTGTGGGTTTGGTTACTGGCAAGGGCCGGCTTCCTGGACTGCAGGCAAAGGCCTTATGTGTGTGTCCTCACATGGTACAGTTACTGGTAAGGGCCGGCTTCCTGGTTTGCAGGTGGCAGTCTTATAGGTGTGTCCTCACATGGTAGAGACAGTGAGATGGGGGTGGGGAGAGAAAGAACAAGAGAGAGAGAGAAAAAGAGGAAAAAGAAAGAGAGAGAGAGCGCTGTATCTGCTGTCTTTTCCTGTTCCTTTAAGGACACCAACCCTATCAGATAGGGCCCCCTTGAATGACCTCATCTGACCTTAGTTACTTCCTACAGGCTCTACCTCCAGTGCAGTCACACTGGGGGTCAGGACTTCAACATGGATTTTAGGGGGACAGGGTCCCATTCCCAGCACTTCCTGTTAGGGCTTACAGTACAGCTCTCACTTTCCAGATGCAGAAACTTGATTTTAGAGAGATTTAGAGACCTAAATACCTAAATGGCTGGTTCAAACGTACACAGAAAGGAACATTTCAGGAGACTGCACAAAGCTGATATGAAATGAATATTATTTCGGCTTAGCTAAAATCATAAAGAACAAGCTCCTCAGGTTCTAGTAAACAAATGTTTATGTTGGTTGTTCAAGTTGTAATTTTTTCTTGCCTATCTTCTTATTAGTCCAGATTTTACCACAGGTGATCAGTTTCTTGATGTTTCCTTTGAAATATCAAGGATATTTTAGGATATTTCAGGATATCTTCCTGACATGTATAAGTGAGTCAAATGACAGCTTTAAAATGTCATTCTTTGGCAGTCTATCGAGGCAGAAACTAACTTGTTTCTTCTCAAAATGTGTTTTCTCTCATCTTGTACTTGCTTGCTTGCTTGCATGAGTTTCAAATACTTACATTAACAGCTAAAATTTTAAAATGTTGTAGAGCATTTTCAGAAATTCCATACAGAGAGGCCTCCAGTTACTATGACATAGATAATTCAATGTGCTCGTCTTCCGTAGCACAGAAAAGTTATTAGAAGCGTGAGGCTGTTTGCTGTGTCACACGGAGGAACAGCTAGTAGGTGGACGGACGCCTTTCTCCCCACTCCCTCAATGGGCCATGAACACTGCAGAATTTACCATCTACTGAGGGAGGGAATGAACCCCCGCTGTGTTCTGCAGTTCACGCTCACCGTGAGATGCATTCTGGCCTGCAAAGTCAACGGTCCTCGTGTTGAAGAGGAAAACCGTGTGCTTCCCACATGCAGGAGTAACTCCCTGTCCCTCCTCTGTAGAGGATACCCTTGGAAACGCACTGTCCACACAATGGCATTTATTTATTCAGCTTTATTGAGCTGTAACTAATAAAAATTATACATGCTTAAGGTGTGCAGGGTATGTTCTCATGGGCATATAATGAAATGCACACTACAAGCAAGCTAATTAACACGTATATCACCTCTTACGGTTACTTTTGTTTTTTGTGGTGAGGACACATAAGGTTTATTCTCTTAGCAGATTTCAAGGAAATACGGTATTATTAACCATAGTCACCATGCTTTCCATTGGAGCCGCAGAACTTGTTCACCTTACAGCTGAAACGTTGCACCCTTTGGCCTGCATCTCCGCGCCGCCCCCCACCCCGAAACCCCTGGTAACCACGGTTCTACTCTCTGCTTCTGCGTTCAACATTCTTAGATTCCACGTGCAGGAGAGACCGTGTGGTATGTGTCTTTCTGTGCCTGGCTGATTCCACTCAGCCCAGTGACCTCCAGGCTCATCCGCGTTGTTCCAGATGGCGGGACTTCCCTCTTTATGGCTGAAGGATGCTCCATTCGGTGGATCCACTGCGCTTTCTTTGTTCTCGCATCTGCTGGTGGACACTTGGGTTGTATCCGTATCTTGGCTGTTGTCAGTAACGCTTTGATGGGATTTAAGAGCCCGTCTGTTACTCTGTCCATGGGTGCAGTGTGGCTGGGAAGCATCTGTGGCGTTTCAGGTAAATACTGAGAATGCGGATGTGATAAGAGCCCACGGTATGGACGTCCCAGGGTGGCTCTGACTTTGCTGTTCACAGCATCTGGAACGCAGCCTAAGACCAAGAAAAAGTCAAGACGATCACTCTGTAGCAAGATCCCTGAAATACAGCTCTTTTTCTGTGTGTAAAATTATTTTTGTCAGTTAAAAATATATGCGCAAAAAAATTTAACGCAGGTATATTTGCTCTAATTTGTGGTTTCTTTCCTTTGAGTTTATAAAGTATTCCCCCTAAGAAGGACATTCCTGGGGTGTCTCAGGCTGTGGAAGTCCTCACAGCAGCCTTCCTGCATCTGCACCTGCACCGCTGTCCAGGGTGGGAGCTCCCAGGTGCCCCCTTTGGCATGAGCTCTGCCACCGTCTTACTTCTTCGTCCTTGCTTTGCACAACAGATTCCTTTCAGAGCCATTCAGCCTGAACATGCTCATGTTTCCACCTAGAACTCAAAGAATGTCTGTCACTTCTGTTTTTCCTGTAGTGTCTTTTTGAGGTAAAGGCACCCTTTGGCCACTGTCCATCTACTCCAGGCCACCTCGTGCACCCCTCAGAGCGCACCAGTCACCCGTGTCTACCTGAAGTTGGCAACGGTCGCATTCATCAGATTAGCAAACACAGGTGCATGGCTTAGTGCGCAAGAGATTTGGAGATTTTTACCATTTCACTAGCCAGTTAAGGGCCTATTGTGCTTTTAGCTTTTTATCACAACGTACCCTTAAATATCCCAGGCACCTGTGGTCAGAGGACGTGAAAAAATTGATCATTCTTAAATTAATATTGGTTGAAGATTGTCCTAAACACGGCTGACTTCAGCAGAGATGCACAGTGAAGAGGGAGCCCGTCCTGGGGTTGGCGGGAAGAGTCCAGATTTAAAACAGGACTGAGTGCCCTGCCCCATTTCCCTCTCACCACCTTGGAGAAGGTGGGCCCCTCATTTCTTCACAGAGCTCTGTTCCTCACAAGCAGATTGCAGATGGGATGGCAGCTGTGCAGAGACTCTCCCTGCATTTCACGGGGCCTATTCTTTATCACCGTCTTTGTTTTCATACGTGCAATACCACACATTAAGGGTTTGAAATAGTGTCATTACTGTCATATTTAGCCAAGGTTGCTTTGGAAATATAATTTAACAAGTATTTCTGTTTAAATGAAGAATTTCTTTTGAATTTACTTTCTGATAGTGCATTTTAACCTAAACTTGGTTTGTTTTCTAAACTTTTTTAAAGCACAGAACTGTTACACTTCGCAGACAGGCAGTTAGCGGCTTGGGCCTGAGTATAAAGGTATGGGAAATGGTTTTCTTTATTCCTGCTTTTTATTTTTGAAGAACTTTTTAGTGTGAATCATGATAACCGTGCTTCTTTCTGATGGCTTTGTCTTTCAGGGAGGTTCTGAGCACAACGTCCCCGTCGTCATATCAAAAATATTCAAAGACCAAGCAGGTAAAAACAGTCAAAATGACCTGTGTATGCATCGCAGCCATTTGTAAGATAACAAACTACTGAAAATGATAAAAATCAGCAGATGTGTATTTTGCTCGATTACCTAAACTTCCGTTTTATTTTCGTAGCTGTGTCTTTTTCAAAGGATGCTTCTTATGCCCTCATCTGAGGCTGCCTTTTTTAACCTCTACTGATCCCTCTGGCCCTTAAGACAGACAGTAATTCTCTGTTTGATGTATCAGGTTGTCCTCTAAAGATATTGATGATTCAGGGGTTTGAACGTGGAGTTTAAGGTATGTTAAAAATTGAGGAGAATTAAATACAGATGGAGAAGTCCATAGTGGTCGTTGAAGTATCTGACAAGCGTAAGAACGTAACTTGCCTGTTGCAGGACTAGCTGAGTGCGCCAGGCGGGGCTGAAACCCATCCGTTCTGCACTTGGCAGCTGGCGGTACTGCACTGACTGCTACCTCAGTTCATGAAATGAAGCACTGGCTATAGGAATAATCACAAGAATAACTGACATTCATAGGGAGAGATTACCCTGTGTGCAATTGAAAAGTGAGGGTGGGACTTCTGGCCACACATTCCACTATTGTGCAGATTGTTTCTCATACAATTCGATTTTGGACATAATGACCCCCCTGCGTTAAACTGCATGCATCTGTCTCCTTGTCAGGAGGATTTTGCGTCCCCACAGCTGGCCTCCTCCCACCTGGTCCAGCAGCTCCTGGGTGTGCAGCCTCAGGCCGCTCCTCCCCTATTCTCCAGAGCAAGGGGCACCTCGACATGTGCTGTGTGGGGGGGCGATTAGCTTATGTCCTTGAGGCCTGTGGGGGAACAGGAAGTAAGACAGAGTGGGCAAGGCGGGGTGGCCTTATGACCTCATGTGCCTCACACCGGAAAGCACAGCCACTGCAGGGGACCGCTGGCTGTGTCCCTGGAGGGGACATGCTTCTCTCCACACTCTACCAGAAATGTGGAGGTTTTGGGTGAAAAGCACAGAATAAGCTCATGCTTTTTCTCAAAACATTCTTACTCATTTCATCCGATTTTACCCAAACCATAAGCCCAGTATGCAGGTAGAGTGCCCCAAAGAGGACGGAGGTCCCAGATTGGGGAAGCCTTAACCACCAGCCCCCTGAAGGTGGGTGCGGTGAGGGCAGCGAGAGTCAGGTCGTCTGAAGGTAGGTGTGGCAGCGATGGTCAGGTCCTCTGAAGGTGGGTGTGGTGAGGACAGCGAGGGTCAGGTCCTCTGAAGGTGGCGCGGTGAGGGCACGATGGTCAGGACAGCGATGGTCAGGTCCTCTGAAGGTGGTGCGGTGAGGGTACGGTGGTCAGGTCCTCTGAAGGTGGTGCGGTGAGGGCAGTGATGGTCAGGTCCTCTGAAGGTGGTGCGGTGAGGGCAGTGATGGTCAGGTCCTCTGAAGGTGGGTGCAGTGAGGGCAGCGATGGTCAGGTCCTCTGAAGGTGGTGTGGTGAGGGCACGATGGTCAGGACAGCGATGTGTGGTGCAGGAGATCATGTTCTGCTGCGGAGATTGTCTCAGTGGGATGTGAATTCCCCACAGCAGCTCTGAACCTGTTCTCAGGGAAGAGAGGTTTCCATAGAATGATTCGCCATGAAGTTTGCATCCGGGTAAAGATTCTTTTTCACCAGAAGGACATTTAGGAGTCAGGTCAGCAGCACAGTTTTCTCCTTTGGAGCAAGCTTACAAACCTGCCTTCAAACTCGCAGCAGATGGCTTTCCGTTTAATCAGGAATTAGGGGCCAGCAACCCCCAAAACCCAGCGGCGGCCTCGGCCTCGGAGGCAGCAGGGGCTGTTCGGAAGGAAACCTAGGAATTTCAGTGTTGCAAGAAATACAGTGTTAGTTATAACCAAGATGGCAGGAAAAGTGAGAGAGCTTTGCAGACCTCTGAATGAAAGGATAATTCTTTTTTTTTTTTTTTTTGGTTTGTTCCCCCACCCTCCCCACCCCCAGACGACGTCTCACTGAGATGCCCAGGCTGGAGTGCAATGGCGTGATCTCGGCTCACTGCAGCCTCCACCTCCCAGGTTCAAGCGATTCTCCTGCCCCTGCCTCCCGAGTAGCTGGGATTACAGGTGTCCGCCTCCACGCCTGGCTAATTTTTGTATTTTTAGTAGAAGTGGGGTCTCACCATGTTGGCCAGGCTGGTCTCGAACTCCTGACCTCAGGTGATCTGCCTGCCTCGGCCTCCCAAAGTGCTGGGATTACAGGCATGAGTCACTGCACCTGGCCTCTTTTTGAGGTTTTTAGAGCATATCAAAAGAAACATTATGATTCATTTGAACTACAGTATTTTGTTGCATGTATTACATCAAGCGTTATAATTGTGTTGACCAGCTTTGCAGAGCTCAGTGCTTTGGCGCGTATGAAGTGTGATTCCACACGGAGCCGTGGGTCCACCGTTGCTGTGTCGGGTGTGGTTGGTTCCTGCTGCACCCCTGAAGCCATCTGGCTGACTGGTGGATAGTGGAAAGAAGGCATGGCCTGATGCAGCTCTGTTCCTCTCATCTTTGTGAACATTTTTAGTTATTTTCATTAGTGGGGTTTTACTTTTTAATTGGTGGATATGATGAAAAGTCCCAGAAAAGAGAATAAGACAGTAAGGTTAGTCATCAGGTAACATTCAGTAAAGGATGTTTATGGTTAATTCAGAAAGAAAATCTATTTTTCCTGTAGGGGGAGAAACAGGTCAAGAAGGCCACCCTCCCTAGAGTGTGCGTGCGACCCTGGGGTTGTAGCCCGTGTGCCCTCCCAAGCCAGCATCCCTGCCTCAAGCAACCAAGGCTTGTGGGTGTGGTCAGGAGAAACTGGGACCCGGGAGATCCCGTCTTACCAGTCCGCAGACCATGCTGATGCACTTCTCTTCTGACATTGGAAGCTTCACAAGTAACTCCAGTGGGGAGCCCCAGTGGGAGGTCCCCACGCTCCTCCCGGGCCTGCTTCCAGGCTTGCGTTCCGTACCCGCTGCAGATTTCCCACCCAGAGCCTTGCCTGCCCGTCCCTGCTGCCCCCTCGTCCTACCAGCTTGCCTGTCTCCATCCTCACCACCCCTCCAGGCCCAGGCCCGCGACCTCAGCAGCACTTGGAGATGAACTTACATGGTTCCTGCAGGCTGCACCTGCCTCTCCCCACCAGGATCCATTTCATCCGCTGTGCCAGAGTTCATGTTTTGGAGACACATTTATATCCTCATTGTATGCAGTCAGTAACAGAAAGTCCTGGCAATGAATTGTGAGTTTAAGGGATCAGGGGCTTTGTCTCATTTATTTTATGTCTTCCGTGTAAACCACAGAACGAGTGTTTTACAGGTGAGCAGAGCCCCTGGGTTGTCCTGAATATCTTGTATTAAACTGACACAGGAGTCTGGCCTCAGGATGAAGGGAGTGCAGGAGGCTCTGTGGACTTTGGTGCTGGAGCCCAGGAGCGCATACCCTCTACCCTACAGAGCATAGCCCAGGAGCGCATACCCTCTACCCCACAGAGCATGGAGTCGCCAGATAGGTCGGGAGGCAGACAGACCAAACACGGGGTGATTAGTTAGAACTAGGAATCCCTACGGATGCTAAGAGAAACTGTCTGCATTCCTCCACGTTTTAGATCCTCTTCTGGATGAGCAGGTATGCAGTTATCCCCAGGTGATGAAAGGCCAGGACAGGTGGGAAGGCTCTCCAGCTCTCATTCTCCAGGGACGCCAGAGCAGCCAGGTAGCCCGAGGCTTCACCTCGCTCATTTTTAAGAATGAGGCAGTTGTGAGATGTTAGATCAGCACAAAATATAAAATTATTAGTTTGCTTGTTTATCCATGAATTCATCCAATCCTATTTAATAAACAACTTCTATGGATAAGACGCTTCTCGGGCCATCAGCAGAGACCAAGGCAGAATTCTCGCCGTTGCAGAGCTTGTAGACAACTGGAGAAGGCTGGCAGTGAACACACGTGCGATACATTTGCAGAAATGACGGCTCCTGTGGAGTGAGCGAAACCGTGGTACGGAGGAGACAGGTAGAGGGCGCTGTTTTTTGTAATGTGGTTAATGATTTTATCCTGTGAGTGAGAGAGAGTCAGCTGAAGTTTGTTTAAAATAGAGTGATTAGGGTAGCTTCTCATTTAAGAAAAGTCCCCCTGGCTGTTGTGAGGAAGCTGCTCCAGGAAGCAGGGAGGAAGGTGGAGAGCCAGTGCAGGGTGTAGGAGGGGCCGCCGTCCCTGCCCTTCTGGGATTTTGGTGAATCTGTAGATAAGTGGCCAGAAGCTGGATGTCCTCGGAGGCTCCATGTCACATGCTGCTGAAGGGTGGGCTGTGTGTCTGAGAGGAAGGAGGACTCAGGCCAGGTTGAGGTTTCCTTTTAGCCTCAGCACCAGGTGGGCCGATGGTGCATTTAGTGAAATGGCCCGCACAGGTCCTGGGGTGTTGAGTGAATGTCGGAAGCAGAGCGTGGACAGCAGGGGATCCGTGCTGCGTTTCAGGGCTGATTTGCTGGCCAGCGGAGTGTACCTGTGAGGCTCAGAGGACAGTATCAGGGTAAGACACTTTTTAAAGAGAGGCATTTAAATTAAATGAATGGCACTGAGGTGGTTCCCCAGAGACTTACTGTAGGTGGAGTGGAGAAGGCTCCTGAGGCCTGAGTTAGGAGTGTGGACATCCCGAGGTTGGACGGTTGCCTGATGTCAGAGTGGAGCCAGGCAGCCCGGCTCAGTTCACTTGTGCCTTGAATTCTTCGCGAAGTGACTCTTGAGCATCTGAATTGCCTGAGCAGCTGTGCAGAGCCTGACAGAGAGAGGCTCTGATTGTACCGTTGAGGTGCGGCCTGCGTGCAGGATTCCACGCCCTGGAGCCCCCGCCCCCTGGTCCCTCTGATGTGGAGACCTTCAGACCTCACACTCATCACAGGGGACTTGGGATCCACAGGTCCACGTCATGGGTGTGGAGAGGCTGAGAGGTGGAGATAGGTCTGAGACTCTCCTCAGTGCA